TGGCGACAAGTTGGGTCACATGACTATGCACATATCACAAGTCACATGACTGTATGTCATAGGTCCCGAAATTTAATATATCTACACAGCTGCTGTCACAGGTCACAAGTTATATGTCTACATAGCTGCTGTTAAAAGTGACATATGCACACATCTCGTGGATAGAAGGAAAAATGTACTAATGTTAATGTGAGAAGTTAATTTACATATTTTGTTTGTCACGGATCAATGAAAATATAAGCCTAAATTGTGTACATGTAAGGGCCTAACGAGCCAAAGTTATGAACGCTAAAATGTCGATACCGTTAACATTTCACATGATTTTCGATTATTTTTTTGCTAATGGAAGCAGGTTGTTGAATGTCCTGCGATTGTGACCACTACCTTCACAACGTCCACATTTCACCGTTTGTTTCCCCTCAATGCACGATCTTCTCCTCTTTTCAGCTGGTCTGCCTGATCTCCTTTTCTGATTAGGTGCCAAGACAATTACGTCTTCAACTTTCGGGGGGCACAATCCACTCATTTGGATTCCCCACTGGGTATACCGTGTATTGGTATGCATTCATGTACGCTTCATGGGTGTAGAAGTACGAACAATAATCGTAAGGATCCCGTTTAGTTGTTGCTATTACAGCCAATGCGTGTGGACATGACATCTGATCAACTTGAACCATCCGACATGTGCAAGTTCGTTTCTCTATATCAATGACAAATGATGATCCCTCATCAGCAACCAAAAATATTATTTGGTTTGCTGGAGATACCTGCGAACAAAGAAAATGATAACGTCAGGTCACGCATCGTACATATTGGATATTCCACCAAGTCACATATATATGTATATGATGTAATGTAACAAATATGTTCGTCACCCTCATGTTCCTCAAAGATGTGCTCATTTCTCTCATCATTTTCTAGTACTTGGTGGACAACTTTGTGAATGTGCCATATGCCGTCTCTCTATTCTTACAAAATCAAGATTGTATTGTTTGTCGCAATGAATCCAAGAATGCTATAATAGGATAGTTCTTCGCTGCTTTTGTGATTGTATTGACGGATTTCACTATATTAGAGGTCATCGTGGAGTACCTATTTGCAGGCATGTGGAGCCGTGACCACCTTTTTGGTCCAATTTCATCCTACGAAGCCAAATCATTATTAGGTTGGAAGGCATACACCTTTTACAGAAAGTATGTACATGTACGAAACTAAGACCTTACCAGGTAACATCTAATCTTCTTGTTGATTGTGTCCAACTGTTGCATATTGTATTCAAAATCTGACAAAGTGTATGCACGAACAACCAAATTGAATGGTCGTGTTATATTGTGATCTGATTTACCAAAGTGTGATTTCAAGTTTTGTAGCAAATGATACGTACAAATTCCATGGCTTGTACCCGGATACACCCGTTCGACTGCATTCTTTATACTGTTATGCCTGTATGATACAAAACAAAGTCCTTCCCTATACCATAAGCACCCCTAAGGTTTTCTAAAAACCATGTCCAAGATGCATCATTTTCGTTATCCCTAACACCAAATGCAAGCACAAAGATGTTGTTATTAGCATCCTGTGTACAAGCTGTAAATAGAGTGCCTCCGTAGTGCCCATTTAGGTACGTGCCATCCACAACTATTACAGGCCTATAGTAGACCCATCCTTCAATCGATGCACCAAGTGCCATGAAATTGTACTTGAATCTGTTGTGACCATCGACTTCCAACTTTGTCACCGTTCCAGGATTTGTCTGTTCAAGCATATAAATGTAGCTTGGTAGCTGCCGAAATGACTATGTTGGATCCCCCCTGATTAGTTTCAAAGTTCTTTCCCGCGACCTCCAAGCTTTAACATAATTCATTGTGACCCCATATGTATGCAACATGTCGTTACATATATCGTTCGGAGTGTATACAGTACGAGATGATGTATACTTATACTTGATGCATGAGGACATCACAGATGTTGAGACTTGCCTGTGAGCTCCTAGGACTATGTTTGAAGCACATGTGTGACCATCGATTAGCTTTTGAATCTTGAAAATCTCTGTTTTTCCTAACCTTGAAGACCTACATATCTAGCTGCAGTCATCATGTGAGCACTTGACTAGATACTCCTTCTTATCTGATTGAACTACCACGTATTCAAACATATTTTGTATGGCAAAGAAAGACATGCTCAATTTCAAAACATCTTTATTGCGAAACACTCTGCCTTCTTCTAAACTCATTGCATTAGGAATGGAAACAATTGTGACCAAATTTTCATCCATGCGATGGGATGTTTCTACAACTGCATCACATATGTCAGTTGTTATATTCTGCACCGGATACACCCCTGTACTAGATTGCACATAAAGTGCATTTGGATTGTCCAACATAGAACTGAGCGATTCATGCCCTATTTCTATAGATGTCACCTCAATGTTTATGGGGTACTTTGACGGGTCACGCTCTACAGTTTTTAGAGTCACATATGTTCGAACATTACTATCGCTACTTATTCTTACTGGAGGCAAATCAACATTCAGTGTGTAAGTCATTGTGACAGCTACCTTAGTAGGATCCAGACTGAACACTGTCACTGCTGTTTCCACAAGCTTTAAATAAGAACAATTATGATCAACCATCACCAGTGCTGACTGTGACCCGTATAACAAGCAAACGTGCACATATCCCATTTCTACGAAATTCAAAAAGAAAACCGCAGGATTTATATGAGAAAATCAGTCACATATCAGTTTAAGGTATCTGCTATGGTCACATTTATATAGTTCTTAGCACCGACAGAAAGTATGATTTCATATACAACTCAAGGTCACATACAAAAAATTCTGTATCATACGTAAGACTCTACCACATGCAGTCAATCCCAATCACCTATGACGGTCACACATTGAAATTCATGCTACATATTGAGACCGGTCACATATGTAACTGTCAATAACGTAATTATTTGACGTCTACAATCATAATGCAGCTGAGTTACATAGACTATTGTCTGTAAATCGTAATGCCCTAATATGAATTGGTTGAATTCGAACTCACATGATGAATACAGATGCTGTCATAGGATTTCAAAATTGGAATCGCATACCTGATTGTAATCCAGATTACGGAAGAACGAATGTTGCTTGATTACAGATCAATTAATTCCGACTGGTATCGAATACGATTCCGATAATGTGAATGATTTTCTTCTTACGATTGCTTGTAGAGGTGGGCGCGGGTCGGTTCGGTTATCTAGTAAATGGAACCATCATTAGAATTGAACCGAACCGAACCGAACCAAAATTTTCGGGTATCAAATAAATGGAACCGTCGGGTCCAAATATAATTATGGAACCGTTCGGGTTCGGTTCTGTACTATAATTAATTTTTTTAACATTTATAACAACATTATTAGCTTGTTTGAGAGTGATATTTTGCCCCAAAAAATTGATTTTTTGACCTTTGTTTCACTATTTCAGTCGTCATATTTGACTTCTTCTCTTACATGTGGACCCCATTTTTTTCCTAACGGTCAAAAAATCAATTCTTAAAATCACTTTCAAACAGACTCTATATAAATACTACTAATGATACATTCAATGGTTTTGGAATGTCAGAGACTAGTAGACTACCTTGTTCAAATGATCGTTATGATCAAAGCTTCGGTTGGCGGAGATCACAGCGTCGACCAACGATTGTATAAGTTTTGGAATGTCAGCGAGGCTGCAAAAGTGAGTGCGAGAGTCGAGACAACATTATGCATTTTAGTGTAGGTGTTTATGGTTATTTAGTGGGTTGGATCTTGTTGGGCTAAGAAATGAAACAATAAAATTGGTGATTGAACCAAAAATTAAAAAATTAGAAATGAAACAAATTATTGGGCAAAAAATTTGGATTTCGAAATTGTTAATTTGTTTAGAAAAAATTAAAATTAAAATAATTTGATTTATTCAATATAAAAAAAAATTAGAAAGATTCGGTTCTTATTCGGTTTTTCGGTTCTTAGTCTAGAATTGAGAATCGAACCGTACCCGCCGGTTCTCAATTTAGATACCCGTTCGGGTATTTAATTTGACAAGAACCGTCGGGCTAGGTTCGATTTTGGAGATTTGCCCAACCCTAATTGCTCGAGCTTCTTTTTTGGGGATGTTGCATTGATTTGTGATCGAGATTTCAGCAGAAATTGTAACAAATTACTTATTTTAAGGAGCCGTTTGTAATCATACCACACACACACACACACACATGATTTATGACCAGATTTGTGTATATTTAAACTTTGATTCTTAAAAATGAAATGTGGTACTTTAAAAGCCTGGGTTATGTATTGTTCCCGACCTTAAATACCTTGATACCAAACATTCGACGATTTTTTAAGTTATGAATACAATAATAAACTCTTAAATCCATTTTTTTCCAATACGGGTGGGTATCAATTCTCGAATTCTAAACTTTGGCTTCAAAACACACAATCTCCAGCCAAACAAGACAAAATAGGAATTGATTAGGCTCTGTAAAATGAAAAATATAACTGTTATCCATCACATGAAATCACCATATTTGACTTTTTATTTCTTGTGTGGGATTCATAATACCTATATTTTTCATTATCATTTTTACAATAATGTAGCTCGGGACGCAAAGCCAATATTTGAATAATCCAAACATACATCACATTTCTAATCTAGATAAATCTTACTTTTCAAGAACTTGACTTTTGACAACACTATTTTCTATGTTCAAACTCAATTGTACAGCACCAATTTAAAAGTCAAAAGTTTCATATCCAACCTTCTCGATTTAAAGATTAGGCCCTCTTTGGGCCTCTTTTTTAAAATAATAATGAGTGAAATAGTATTTTTTTTGAAAAATGAGTAATTGAAAAAAAAATGAAAAATTTTCAATTTACGTGTAATATTACTTTGTGAAAGATTGTGTGATTAAAAATAAGAGAAAAATAAAATAAAATTTAATGTGTACTAAAAGGGGTTTAGATGAACAGACTCATTTGGTTTTTGAACTCTTCATTCCTCAGTAACTAATTGCAGGTTTAGATGAACAGACTCATTTGGTTTTTGAACCCTTCATTCCTCAGTAACTAATTGCAGAAACAGAAAAAATCGAATTTACATAAATTGATTGTATTCTCTATGCCACATACAGAGTTTCTTTTCAAAAGAATCCCTTTTTTTGGTCCTTTTTCACAAGTTAAGATTTAAAAAAAAAAAAAAAAAAAAAAAAAAAAAGGTAATTTAACGAATGAGTTAAAATGGAGCATAAGCCACAGATCCCTCATAAATAGTGCTAAGCCTAATCCTGAAGGATCGGGCCGCCATTTTAGCCCGCCGAGAAGAGTATCTCTGCAATTTTCTCACAGAACTAGACCTAGAAACCCCTAATCGAGCCGACGTTGAGGGCTTCATTGTATTGTTATTGTTAACAGAACTCTTCTTCTCGATATTTTGATCTAGCACCATAACGGGTGATATTCGGGCCTTCCTCTTCCGGCGGTGGCTTGAGGCGGAGGCAGCGTTAATTTTGTCAAGAGCGACGCTGGCTTTCACGGCTAGAGCAGCCATGTCGGAAGCACTCAAACGATAGTGAAGTTTTGTTCTGGGCAGCACGAAATAGATCTGAGATTCCTGGAGCGCGTCTTCTGGTGCCAAAGCCGGTATGTAATCGTCAAAATACAAGCAATCCGAGTTGCAAATGAATGAATCTGCAGATGAATTTTCCAATTGGAGAAGTACCTGAAAAACCGTTATAGGAACTGGAAATTGGCGCAATTCTCCGTTCAATAGAACGACGTTTGCAGATGGGTTTTGGTATTCAATTGATTTTGAAGACAAACAAGCACCCATTTGATTTTAATTTTGGTGAATATTGCTGGGGATTGAAGAGGGAATTGGGGAGTGGAGAAGAAGAGTCGTAAATGAATAGCGAAAATTGCGTTGAGCGGTTGAGGCGGTGAAGGATATATAAAGAAACGTGTGAGAACTGTGTGGTGGCGGGCCCCGCCGTATAGGAAGAATGGACATACGTGGAAATGAGGTGGAATCAGCAACGTCATAACGAAATATAACGCGCGATACAAGTTCTTTGCTTGGAGAATAAGGAATTTAAGGTCAAAATGTAGGAGTTTTAGGGCTAAAAACGCGGTTCATTGCGTCTTGTTTAAATATCGTATCACATAATCTGTTAGGAAACAAATATGAATATTGTGATGTTATAGCACAATTGAGAAAAAAAAAAAATTTAATCTTAACAGTTCTTTTCGATAGTGACTCAATCTTTTTTGAAAAGAATTTATAAACCATTTAATTTATAAATAAATAGAAATGAGTATGACTGATGGACGATCATTGTGGATCCATTGAATTATATGGTTAAAAATAGAGTTTGACCATTATAAATGATTTATAAATTTTACCCAATCAAGGCTAAAAATAGATTTAAGCTGCCATAAATTTTGTAAATTTCTCAATATTGACATCCACCTTGACATAAAAAAAAAAAAGAATAACAAAGAAAAGCAAACGAAAAGAATTAAGGAAAAGAATTACAAAAATAAATATTTCACTTATTCTTAAACATATTAGTTTAGTTTTGAACTGTAATATTTTTATTCTTCCGTTATTGATCTAGCCCTTGTTTCGTTTAAATAAAAAAAATAGATTTTTAGTAAATTTAGATAAAAGTCGGTAAAATGTATGGTTGAAAAATTAATAAAAGTTGTCGATCTATGAAATCTATCGTTAAAATAAGTACGAAGAAAAATGAATTTTAAAAAATAAAGATTGAATGGGAGCTTAATTTATAGTTCCTGAAGAAATTTTCTTATAAAGAAGAGCTAGACGAAGATTTGCACACCGTAGGAACCAAAGATAATACTAGCAATCAGAAGTTTGGTTGTTTAACAAAATAATAATGTGGTGTTAGAATACTCATTTGGTGGGTTCAATTAAATAAATTATGTGACATTAAATTTAATTGAATTTATCATTTAATGTCATGCTTGTCATTTAAACTAGTGGTTAACATTAATGGTGCTGGATCAATCGTGCTATCCAAGCTTAAATTCAGATGGAATACGTGTTGACGCATAATTGGACAGTTTTAAAAATTAAAGCAAAAATGTCAAATTATATTTTGACACATCAGTATGTCTCTTTACTTCCTCATTTTCAAGCATGGATAAATGATTTTCTTCTGGATAATATTATCCTTGACTAAATGTTGTCAATGATAGACGTGGCATTGGTCGGAATTGAAGGGTCAAACTTGAGAATTCTTCAACAACTTATCTTATTTTTTAATGTTCTGTTTGATTAGCACAAAACATTATTAGATAAATCTTAAACCAAATCCGGTTTTGTTAGTCTCTGTGTCTAACTTTTGACTTTCTTCATTTCTTTTAATTTAACCAAACAAATGATTAGTCTCTGATGGTGTCTTGTCCGGTGGGTGTTTGGGATAATGTCCGGTCGGTCGGTTTCAATACAATAATGCCCCGTAATAACCTGAGAATATGCGCCTCACGATTAATTTGGCACTCTGTTCCACATGGATGGATAGCTTCAATTTGTATAAATACTACGTATAGATAAAAAAAAATATCATCAGAACATTAAATTGTAAACTTTAATTTTGTGTTCACTCCATTTGCTTTGACTATTCGTGTTAATGATATCCATTGACGTGGATCTTAGAGCTTAACGTTGTTTAGCACGTTTTCTATTAATCATTTAACCTAGAGTCCATCGATTTCTCATTATTTTCATCCTCCTCTCATCATTCAAGTTACGAAAGTTCAAAATTTTAAGACTTCTCATGACATTCATCGTTGACTCAAATTATACACATGGATTTTCATTCACAATCCTTGTACCAATATGCCATTATATTTATAAATAAAGATTGATCCTCAAAGATTAATTATTGATGCTATTTACTTGTAAGAAATTCGAGGTAATTTTAATTTTAATACCGAACACAAATTACTTGCATTCTTTCGAAAAAAAAAAAAACAAAGATTTGTAGGAAATGGCAATATGAATGTGTTTAGGGTTTGTTGATGGTAAAAATGACGTGACATGTTATAATTAATTTAATAGGTTTTTGTAAGTAAAATGAAGTTTCACAATGTTCTATTGAGCTTAGGCTGAATATCTGACCTCTCCTAAAATTTTTCTTGTCCTTCTTGAGAGGGGAATTGCCCCTTTACAGGTGAGCCTCTTCTTCTGAATTGTCTTGATCTTGTCAAGCTACACTATTTTTTTAGGGACAAGTAATTTATACATTATACCAAGAATTATGTCAATCATTATGTTAATGTAGCATGATTCATGCAATTATGAACTAGGATTGATCTTTGATCCTAAGCTCTCTTTAAAGATAATGATTGGTCCATGAGAACAATGGTGATGCAAGTGGGTAGACAAGCCACTCACATCACAGTCATTAGTTATTATCTTCTTCATCTTCGATGTTATCTCTACTTTTGGTCTAAAATATCTTTGTCAAGGTTTTTTGAGATTGTTTATCTCTTTTAATTTGTTCGCAAGATTGGACTAGTTACTTCGCCCCATGCTTATCTTCAAGGTGAATGTCACCTGCATCTTGCACCACTTGTCCTCTAAGGTGTGGGGATTCTATTCTGGGTATAACATAGTTGAATCTCTGTTTATGGTTTATTTCTTTAACAAATTATAACTGTGTAATATCTGAAGTTGCAATGTAATTCAGAAACGCAACAGATAATGCTGAGCACATGGGAACATAAATCATCCAAGTAAATAGGCATTGTTTAAAGCTGAGTTAATTTCATTTCAAGTACACCTGCAACCTTAAACCCTAAAAGGACCAAGCTGAACCAGACCAAACCAATTTATTTTGATCCAATTTAAATCTATAACTCAAACGTGTAAACCACAGAGCCAAAGATAATAAACTTAACGTCAGTCTAAAGTCTAAACTGTACACAAAAAACTATGTAGAGAACAAAGAAATAATTGCCTATACACCGAACTTAGTTGGTCTTCACCACCAATTGTGATTTACATTTGTAAAGATACTTGAATTTCCCAGTAAGACTAGAGCAACCACAATGAGGCATGTCAAAATTAGCCACATCCAATCAAGGGTGGACGCACAATCAAACTCAATACAAATCGAATATTTTTGGAGGTCTTTTGGTAGTTGCTGTTGCTTCAAAATTTGTGTCATTTATCCCATCGGTCTCCTTCCCACTTTCCTTTCAAAGCTTTTTGCAGTTTCATATGTAAGTATTATGCTCTAGGTCCAATCAACTTTGGACATAAATACTTTTGATATATAATTAATGTAATTTAATGGCAGATCTATTATTTAATTAATGGACAATTAAATAAATAATAGAGTCCGTAGATTCAAATATTCGTAATTTGTTAATCATAAGGAATTGTGATTGTGAAATACAAATTACATATGATTGAATCTTAAATCATCTGTGGTCGTAAGTAATAACGAGATACGGATATCGTTATTACGGATAGACCATTACGTGTGGCATTTCTTACTTGTGAAGTAAGTAGCAGATCTCACAAGCTAAAGTGTGGTGACACTTAAATGAACACGTGGATGTTTTGTTATAGAACAAAACATTGGAGACCCGCTAAGAGATTCCACATGAATAACTATCTGAGTGTCAGTGGTTAATCTCTAACGTTCGGTAGTGGAATTGGTCCTTTGACTTGAGGTCGTCATGGTACCTTATATGAGGACAGTCATACTTTGACGGTATTGGATGTTGCTCTGTAAATGACCACTAATACGACATTGTTCGGGTACGTCAAGAATCGTATGAAGGTTGTGATTGGCCAATAAAGGATTCGTCACTCTTAGATAGTAGGAGATTATGATCTGGATTTCATTCAATTAAGTCGATGATGAAATCCTTGGCCAAGGTGTTCTCATAAGTCAAAAAGGAGTTCTCAACTTATATTGACTTGATAGTGGAGTGAAAGATATGATCGATAATCGAGATTGACACACTTCCATATCTCGTAATTGATCGGATCATATTGACAAAGGGATTATAATTTCACGGTAAACGAACAAGTTTGGTTTTGTCACACCACATGACATATCCCGTCCATGTACTGCCCTGACACATTGCTAAATATCAATTAGGGACGGCGAGTGTGAATTGATGATAATTTAAAAAGGTGTTTTAATTTATCAATTTTGATTAGATCAAAATAATATTTTACGTCGTTGGACATCGTAATCGGGAACCTAATGGGTCGCACACAAAAGAGAATTGGAAGATTGTAAAATGCCAATTGGTTAATTTAACAATCGTTGGATAAATTAATTAATTGAATTTATTATTTATATTTCCGAATTAATTAATAGGATTAATTAATTCACGGACCGAGTTTAATTAAATGGATTAATTAATTATTGGACCGGACCGAGTCGAGCCAGTTTGGGTTTATATAAATACATGGCTAGGGTTTGAGGTCCATATGATTTTCATTATTCTTGCTGGCACAAGAGGAAAAACCCTAGTAGCTGCAATCTTATTCTATGTGTGGATCACCGTTGAAGGCTGAACAATTGGACAGCTGTAGGTGGCGAATCAAGATTGCTGAAAACGAAAAGAAAAGCAAAAGGTTTGCAGAATTCGTCAAAAGTATAATCTTTATCACAATTTCGATCTAAACACAAAGGGATCCTCGATGGGAATCGAAATAATTTTAATTTTCCGCTGTGCATGTATAAGTAGATTCCCAACATCATAAACATTCGTATTCTCATTGACTTCACTCGCAGCAGTAGAAGCACCCTTCTTTCTTTCCTTCTTTCTGAACCTCTTCTCCCTCTCCTCCACAAATAAATATTTTCACACATGATAAAATGGAACTGCGCATTGTAGAAGAAGAAAACTCACCTTTTTCTTTTTGTTCGGCTTCTTGCGATGTTTGTACTTCAGCTCTCCTTTGTGCCTTCTCTGCATTCTTCTTTTTCCTCGTAAGGGCC